AGAAACCATTGGTAACTTGAGCCGGTCCTGGATGAAACGCAACTAAAGTAACTTGAGCCGACTAGTGTTGCAGAGTTGCTATCGAGCACATCATCTTATAGCACCTCTGGAGCCCTCTCACCAGAGTCATGCGAGCGTGTGAAGCTAAGAGGCAAATCCTCTTGGAGCTGCATGGTCTGGAGCATGTTGTACCTGAAGCTTGAGTTCCAGGAAGATTTGACACCCCAACACAAGTCAGTCAGCCTCATAAAAGCTTACCAGGGGAATGTAGGTCCCAGAACTTATCACTAGGGCGGGTGTAGGGAAGATATCTAGCATCAATCCATTGTGTCAATCTATCGCGTCCACCCGCCGAGGTTGGACCTGCTCCCGCGCCAAGAGCTGGCAGTTGGCCCAACATAGACTGACTCCTGAACCGTAGATACCTGGAATGTAAAGGTTAATATGTTTCTACTTGTTCGTGTCTTGTTTAGTGGGTTATACAACCACTCCCCAAAGGTTAAAGGTTATCCCACTTTGCCTGGAGATGTAAAAAGTTCTTATCAAAACCATCTCTTGCACTCAAGTTATTGTTGAACTGCTCACAACCTGAACATGAACAGAAACAAATCTCAAAAACACTCTGCTGATGTCTCTCTTCACCCTCTGGCCTCCCCCTCCCGCCGGCGAACCAGCTCACCACCGGCCTCCCGTCCACCCGTTCGGCTTGCGTCCCACCGAGGGCGCTTAATGAAGCGTGGGGCCGTCTTGGAGTCGTGGGCCCAGCGGCTCAAAGGGCCGATGAACTCCGCTGCCTGCGGCGCTCGTAGCGGCGGGTGCTCGGCACAGCCTGCGGTGGACGGTACATGCAAAAGACGTGTTCGACGTGTCTGGGACTGTCAGGACGGACTGGCGATCAAGTCAGACCCCCCAAACCACCACCCCTGGCCTGATCGGCATTTATGGCAGTCCCATGGAGTGCCTGGGATTGGTTCTTGTGTGTTGTCCCTTTGCTTTTGTCCGAGTGTGTTGGCCAAATACTTTTGCCAGCTCACGCAGCTCAAAAGGGTGAAAAGCACTATCACCAAAGGCGCGGTTAAACATTATAACAGTACAATTTGTGTGTGTTTTATGTTGTTTTGGCAACATTACCCGAGACCCACTCTAGATTCTACCGAAAGGCATGGCAGAACATGGCAGAACCAATAACAATTGTATGTTTGACCAGATTGCGCAATCTCTCAGCTATGGATTTTACGGAAAGGCGCCAAAACAGCGGTAAACGGTAAACATCGAATTGTTTCTTGCTTTCTCAAACAACATGTCACGAATCTCCGCGGTAGAAACAGAAAACAAACCATCACGTTCCCTTCTTTAGCACATTGCCCGAGTCCATCAACTATCAACTATGAATGTGACCGAAAGGCGCAACAATCAAACAACATCTGCAAAAAAGAGAACCCTTAACCCCCCTGGCACCGCCCCTGTCACATGGTTGGGGAGCATTAAAACATTCTCCGTAGCAACACGCGGGATCCTCGGGTCGTCGCAACACGCGCGGGTGGAAGCGGGCGGGGCACCGTGGGTACCGGTCCCGCCTCGATGGTGCCCGATTTGTCGGTATCGATCATGTCGAAGAGCATCTGAAGATCCTGGGGAGAAAAACGAATGGACACTCTGCGCCTCTAACCGACAGGAGACAGGATGAGACAGGAGTGTCTATATTAATAGCCTCTTAGAAGTCTTAGAGGTTAACCAAGGGGTGTCCAAGAACCACCGGGCTTGGAAGCTCCTGCTAAATGAGCAATTGTGTTGCCAGTGGAACTACCTGTTACATGTTGAATAGCATCTGGAGAACTGAGATACGACCATGACTGTCAGGCTTGACCCTGACTGCCAGGCCCTGCTTGACTGCTTTTTTCATCACGAACTAAGATCACTTTCCTCCACTCCCCCCCCCAAAAAAAACACTTGCTTCACGCAATGAATTTGGACCCCCAAATGACCAAACGTGTTGCTAGTGGGGCTATCTGTTACTGTTTGGTGGTGGTAGGAACCTGAATTTCATGGGTCAAGGTGCTCGAGCACCGTCAAATGGGTCAAATGTAACTTTAGGGGGGACATGGGACTTGGAAAATGGACCTATATGGATCTTATATCTCAAGTAGCTGAACTTGCTTGACCTATAAGTATGAATGACGTAAAGTCCACGGGTTGATCCGGGGAAACCGGGTGCCTTGGAACTCGTGTTGTGGGGGGGTGTCCAAAGTAATAACCACCACGGTGTTGTGCGGGTGTACCAGCGACACCCCGCTCGTCTCACCGAAGAACTCCGAAGCAAAATCGGCACTCCTTCTCATCAATATCCATCACGCGCAAACGACTCCTTAGGCCACATGGAGTTGCTTGAGGTTGGGTGCTCCAGGATAAATCACTATACATTTGTGGATGGAGGGTAGATGGCACACCAAGTTTGGTGGTTTATATGGACCCACATCTAAAGGACATGTAGGGCACCACGGATTCCGGGTGTCTATTCATAGCCCCAAAAAGATGTCAAGAGGTGTCCATGAACCACCCGGACTGGGGGTCCAGGGTTGGTGGGGCCAACTTGTGTCCATCAAGAGAGTCCCCATGCTCGTCACGGCAAGTTGGTTGGGGAATGTAGGCTCTTGATTCATCCAACTCCCCACTTTGGGATTGCAAAAACTCTTCCTGTGGGGGGTTCTGAGCCCGGTCATTTGGTCCTTCCAAACACGCCCAAAACCCAACTACCCTCAGCTCGAGCCGCTGGAAGTCTGCATCTCGCTCGGCGCCTTCGATCAGCTCCTTCGGCAGCGCAAAAGGGTGCTGGGCTGGCTGCGTCGCGTATTTTGACAGGTAGCTGTTCTACTGAGTAATGGGTTTCCATGACTGGATGAATCCGCCGGAATATATACCAAAGACCTTCGAACTTGAAGCCTGAAAGCCTGGGATGAAGAAAAACACCTGGGGCGTCTGACATGTGATCTGCTGATCGGGATCCCAAACACGACCCCTCTTTTGGCTGGTGCGCAATCCAACATAGAGGTCAGTCATTCGGGTTCGTCAAAAGCCTGGATACATGGTGGGCATGTGGGCTGGGTCCCTTACGGGCATCTTCATCGTCCGCGGCCCAAGATTCTCACCTGATCATTTTCAAAGAACACAGAATAGCATTCACATGAGGTTATAGTCGAAATGCCTCTCACCTCTGTTTCTCACCTTCGCAATATATGACTGGTTCCTTTGCCTCGTAGATGGCGCACAACAACAGGATCTGAGCCGAACACCGGCACACCGGATCACCCCCGGAGGCGCCAGTCGCCAGTCGCCCCAAAACGCCCGTCGCGCCTCCAGAGTCAGCTGTCCACTGCCATCCTTATCAATTCGCTTGAAGAGCTTCGCCTCGGCGCCAAGGTGTTCTCTCTCTCTCTCTCTCACCTCGACTTCATCAGTGTCTGTCGGCCCATGCACATCGGCGTTTCGTGAACAACCGTCCCGTCCCAGCTGTTCAACCCACCGCCCCGTCGGCGTCACCTTTGATTCTTCGAAGCGTCAGACCTTATGTCTTGGACACACCAAAGGTAGTAGGCGCGAGCTGAATGGAGTCCCATGCACTGACCCATCCCTTTACAGGATTTTCTCATCGGATTAGAAGGCTTCACGACCGGCACGAACTCGGACCAGGACCGATCTTCGAGCGAGCTTCGACCTCCACGGTCCACGAGCGGTGCCGACTTCGGCTCGACGTCACGCGGACGAGACGTGGGCCGCGGCCAGGAACCTCGTGGTGTGCAGGCCGCGAATTAGGGCAACAAGAGTCGCACACTTCCAGAGAGCGGACAAGGGTGGTGCTGAGGATTTGTTGTAGGGGGGGGGGTCAGTAAAACCCAGTAGAATGCAAAGAGAGAGAGAGAGAGAGACAGGCGTGCTTACTTCAGGGCTGGATACTAATATTTAACTATATAGTTTGTCAGGGTCAGGGGATTAGTTAGCAAACAAGGTAGTTTATAACAAGTAGTAGAGTGGTGCCATGGGGAGGCGTTGTGCTTGACTCCAGACAGAATATCCATTCCCTTTCCCCTTGCCCGGTTCTTGGACTCGTGCGGAGAAATTCAAGGATTCAAGGACATCATGAAATAACTTGCCTGGGGGATTCAAGTGCCTCCTCGGAACATTGTTTGGACCCTTCAGGCGTACAGAAAGGTGTCTCCAATCAACCATAATCAACCTCTCAGAAGGTATGTGGATCCATAGACTCAGGCGGAGGATCTCTTAACATCTCAAATCACACACTACAGGTCAAGACATCATTCTCTTGTAGCTGGCCATTATATACTGAAACACTATACTCAACGGAGGCAAAGAAACAGGTTTGGACCTGGGTCAGACTGGACCTGGGTTTTTGACCGCGTTCATCCAGTCAGCGGATCTAGCGCTCGGCGTTTCTCCGGAGGGCCAAGGACTTCCGATCATTGGCAATATCATCCTCCATCTCTTCGGCCAAATTCTGCACATCGCTGGCCCTGGTCAGACGTCTTCAGACGTGAACGAGTTTGAGTTGGAGCCCTCCTTTTTCCACATGGTGGAAAGTGTACACGGACAAAACCAGCACGGCAAGCTAGGTAGAAAAGTCTAGCAGGCGTGAAACAAGGATGCAACATGTACGAAGCGATGATTTGTACAGCAGGATTACTTTTTCTCTTATCTTGGCTTCAACGTATTGTTTTCACCTGGGTTCTATCTTGGGAATTAACTTTAAAACATGGGAAAACGTCTGGTTTTCAGGTCGCGCCCACCTCGCATCTGCGAAGGTATCTACGACCACGGCGACCTCGGACGTCGTTCTGAAGGACGACCGGAGTCCGGGGTCCTTCTCTTGATGGACAACTTCCTGCATAGGTGCTTGGAATCTAGGACATGTTCTCTTCTATCATAAAAGGTTGCCTTGATCACACATCAACAAGTCAACTTGACCGAATCTTAGGTCAACAAATGGGATACATGATGATACATGAATGATCATGCAATAATTTTTTGATACATTGGCGTGCTCACATGTTCACCTGATAGGGCGGTTTCGTCATGTCCGACTTTCGAGCTAGGATCCCCTCGGATGCCTAGCTCAAGAAGACTGGCACATGTCAGGCGAACCATTCGCCCAGCAAGGTGAAGATTCAGAGCAAACAAAAGCTATCAAGCATTGATGTCACAAAAGACTGGGAGAAGCTATCCTGAAGGCCAACATCCTTCTTCACTGGAGATGGGAAGATTGACTGATGTCCAGCTGTGAAATAATCCTTCTTCACCAATGAACCACTGATGTCCTGTCGAGGTGTGTCTTCCATCTTCACCAACTCTTTCTTTTCGTTGATCGCTCATGCCATGGTGACATGTGCTTTCGGCCGTTTGGTGACTCGGCCCAAACAGCCCGCTTTCGCATGCTCCCGCCGCATGCTCCCACCACACCGCGTCCGGCCGGGTTCCGGCGGAAGAACGGCGACCGGTCGGTGCTCTCCCAATGCAGGGCCCGGCGACGATGAGGTTGAGCACGCCAAAGACCAAGGTCCTTGCGAGACGGTCCTACGATGGACAGAGGGAGACGAGGCGGCACCCCACGTAGGGAGGGCCACAGATCACGGTTCTCTCAATTGATTTGGATTAATTGTGCCGGTAAAGGCTGTGAGCACCACAAATCAATGCACCTCAATATCACTATAAAATAAGTGATCATATTGTACCAGGACCCTCCAAGGGGTGTCCTGGCTGGACTACCCCACACTACCTATAGGCTTCCATTGGGCAGCCCTTAGAGGGTCCTGGTATAATAGGTATATAATATATAATATATACATCTGGATCTTTCAAGCATGCAACATGCCGAATCCGAACTTGGCAGGTGTATGCTGGTGTATGCTAGATGAACAGGCAGATGTTGTGCATAATTGAAAGATCTGGGTGTGTCCCACTATCGCGTCTCAGCAAAACTAACTCGTATCTAGGTCAACTTGGTGGTTGAGTCATGTCCGTCATCCACACAAACAACTCAGCGCAATCCTTTTCAAAATCATGGTTCAAATCCCAACGACCAGGTTTGGGCAAAGTGTCACATACACCAACCCTTGGGAAGAGTCGGGTTTGGGGAACAAAGAAGGGAGGGAACCGACACAGGTGGCTGAGGTTGTGCCTTCTTCCGTGGCTGAGGTTCAGAAACTCCAAAGCAAGGTATGAAACAGTCCCTCCAATCATTTTGAAGAACTGCCACTGATTGATGTCAGTCCATGGCACCGTCCATGGCACATGTCACCGAGTTGAGGTTGTTAATGTTACCTCCCAAGCTTGTACTACTGCTACTTACTAGGTCACGGTTTAGTATGTTGAGGCTTCGCTAGTCGGCCGCATGCCAAAGGAACAAAAACACTGCAGATTCTGCCAATCAAGGCGCAGGGGTGCACATATTGCACTCACATGCGCTGCCATGAATCTAGAATCCACCCCTCTATGCGATCAGTAAAGAGTCACAAAAATTGTGATTTTCAGGCCAAGTCTCAGTAGAGATCCCATGAAAATCAGCGCAGTAGCGGGATACTGTTCCTCAGTAGGCATCTGAGAGATCTAAGAGGCATCTGAGAGGACACCTATTTTGTAAAGAAAAAAAAGGTGGCCAAGTTGTAGCCAGCTACTAGCCATCTTGCAGTCTAGGTGTTTCTTTGCCTCCCTCGAAGCCCCTCACATCTCAACTGGCAACTCTTCAAGACTTCACATTTGCAACAAGACTCCAACAACTATGTGTTAAGAATCAACATCTAGGAATCTAGTTCACTGCCTAAGTGGAAGACGACTCTGCTTTCCCTCGGCTGCGGTCGTTCCCCAGGGCAGGCTAGCTCATCATCACCAGATTGCTAGCTTTTCAGAACAAGAGAAAGTCACTCCTGGACCAAAAGCGGTCCAATCCTGGACATCCCTGGCAATGTCTTGCAGTCTTGCCGTCCATGAAAACAACAGCAACGCTCATGATGTGCCAATCTTCCCGTACATGTCCTTGTCCCGATACTGCATACCCAGAACCAAAACGAACCGGAGACCATACCCAGAACGCAAAAACACACGCATACTCAGAACCCCAAGACTCTTTTTCATATCCATTTCCCTCCAGCTGAACCCCCCCCAAACTTTCCTCCACCTTTCCACAGCACTCCATGGGACTGGCCTATTTATGAGTACCATCCCCTTCACCCCATTTATTCAACCATCCCTTTTTGTATGATGTTCTATGTATATAAATATGGCTGATCCCATGGAGTCTGTCCCAAACACTCCATGAGACTGCCAATCTTTGCCTACATCGGGGTGGTGCCAGGGGGGTGAATGGGGCGGCATCTCTTCCAGTCCCATGGAGTGTCTGGGTGTGATTGGTCTGCCAGCTTGTCTTCGTGTCCCAAGCGTCGATCACGGGCACTGCGATCTCTCCCCAGGAGTCCCCGGCGATCACGGTCTTGAAGAGCAGCAAGTTCGCGACCATCACCTCAGGAGCACTAGAGCATAGCTCCCCGGATGCGGGAGAACCGCGAGGTCAGCTGGAAGCCTGGAATCAGTAAGGATGTTTTTACTTCATTCATGCGAGAGAAAAATCATTGCTCCAGCAGTCACAAAAAGGGGTGCGATCCATGCAGGTTTGGGGTGCCCATTATCCACTCACTTAGGGACTAAACACCACCCCTTCATGACTCCTGGCTCATTCCCTAAACTGAGCAGTTGTTTGTAACTGTATATGGTACGATCCTGAGCAGAGTTGTTCGGGACCTTCGTAGACCCAAACCTGACGCCGACATCTGTAACAGTGTCAAACACACTCACACAGGAACATTCAAAACAGCTTCCCCAAGCGCTGAGAACTTGGGCCCCCATTCCAAGTGGTCATACATTGCCCACCCACAGTTGGGTGCTCCTCAGAAGGTATGACTGGACCCTCCTGGCACCCACCCCAGTCCCCTTTCTCAGAAGGTATGACTGGAGCCTAAACAGGCAAGTGATCCAAGTGGCTGAGGACATGGCCTGATCACAGTGCTTGCAGTCCTCAAAAGCTGAATTCGCCTGGAGCTCCTGACACCAGCAACTGAGCAGCTCACCAGATGGACGTCCCACAACGGACCAATCTGAGAACCCCCCAAGAGACCCAAGAGGTGTCTATCAAACACCCAAGAGACCCAAGAGAACCCCCCCAGGATCCCCCTTAGCCTTTAGCCTAAGTTGCGAAAAAAAAGGACACCTCCGCTTCGGGGGATCGTCTAAAGCCTCCGGAGACGAAGCGAGCCTCCGACAGCCTCCAGCTGCCAACACATAGACATCGACATCGACATCCATGCACCGGCAACAAAAGCGTAGCGAACAGATCTCGTTTTCAGTTGATGAAGAACACCTAAAGAGGTTAGCCACAGTTAAAGAGCCTATTTTCCCAGTTCAGGTCTCTCAACCTCTCTTGGAAGGATTGAAAAAGGCTTGGGTGGTGGAGTGCCACCAACTACACCTGTTGACAGGATTGGGGGTTTGTTATTTGGCAACGGTTGAAGAAGAGTGCATGCAGGTATACGGTATATATATAATTATATATCGGTGTATAATACATGCATTTACGTATCTCGTCCAAACACGAGCTCTTCATGAAGCAAGCTCTTCTGTGCCGACCGCCGACTTTCTTCCGATCGGATTTGTTGTCTATTAGTTTCCCTTGGGCTCCAAGTACCTTCTGAGAAGGTGGGACTGGGGTGGGTTTGGAGGGTCCAAATACCTTCTGAGGAGGTACTTGGAGCCCTAGGGTTTATGTTTTGTGTTTTTCTATTGGGGGGACCTGCAACTGGGAATCTATTGAGACCGAGCGAGAAGAAGACGCAATGACTCACATTGGCATACAGTAAGAAATTGAACAAGTCCACGCCGAAGGCTTGTTGAAAACGAGACCTCTATAGACTATATATAGAGATATATCTCCCCTTTTGAATGACCAACATGATCCAAGGGCGGTCAACCAATGCCACATCTTTCAGATCGAAAAAGCGCCACAACGACCCCCTGCTCACACCATCCTGCTAAGCTCTTCCAAGTTTCCTGCAGCAAAGGATGCACTGTCTCCACCATGAGCATGGACCACAAGGTCATCACCAAGAAGCAAAGGAGGAAAGACCAAACCAAGGTCTTTGCCTCACAAGGAAAAAAGCGAAGCAAAACAGACCGTTTTGCACAAAGACCGGCGCGGAACGTCGGAACGTATTGTGGAACGTCTTCCTGGAAGACCCAAGCAGCATTGAGAAAAAGCTGATTCTTGGGAGAAGTGAACTAGTCAAAGCTTCATGGAGACATCCCGAAACTGACATTCATAGAACCCTCTCAGAAGCAGCATACTCTGCCACCATGGATGGTCTGTTGATGGATTTTCAGGAAGCTACAGGACTTTTTGCTGTATCTTTTGATTGTTATGTAGAACAACGGGATCCGGCATACGGACATGCGGACATCTTGTATCGCAAGTCGTGCAGGTGTTGGTCGTGCTGGTGTAGACAAACACTCTGAATTGAAGCACATTTGCGATGTGGGAGCATGATGCGCAACTCAAGCCTTTTTGAACATTGACCTGGTTAAACCTCGCTGAAAGCCCAAAAGAGCTCAAATGTATCAAAAGCTATAAATTGATGAAATTGATCCATACTTGCTACCCCATGCATGTGTTCAAGAAACACCACACAGAATAACAATAATATAGAAACACCCGGAGCACAAATGCATACATGGCGGTGTGAGAGGATGCAAGAAAACAAGTTGGGAGGTGGGAAACCAGTGGGTCAGATCTGTTCAAGAAAAGCACATGTTTTGCAACAGAACTCCTGCGTTAGTATAGCTGTTTGTTTGACTTGGACAGCCACGAATGCGTCTGGCAGCTAAGCCACACAGGTGGCCATCATCATAGCTAACTTGTGCAGTTCACGCAGGGTGCGAATCTTCCTGCGAGCGTGAACAGGTGAAGGCGACAACAGGTGAAGCTCGTAGGGTGAGTGAAATTCAATTTGTGGGCACACCCTGGAAGACTAACATGGAACCTGAAAACCACTGATTGGTAGAGGAAAATAGTCTTCCATGGGACCATTGTCAGGGTCTATGTTAGTTTTCGGGAGTGTACATGATTGAAGCCCCAACAATGTTCATGTCACGAAACTCCATTGAACCCTCTCAGCTATCAATCCCTAGGCCCTAGGCCCTCTCACTCTCGCTCTCACTCTGCCGCCTTAGGTCGTGTCTCTCACTCTCACTCTTACAAATACCATTTCAATGTAGACTATTGATGTATACAACCCCCCTCATATCAAGAGGTGTTTTTGATCCAGAGACTACATTCTTCGCCCCAAGAGCCGGATCGTCCTCAAGAGCCGGATCAGCCGGAAGATCCGCACCAACCGCAGCGCGCGGACGATGCTGATGCCCACGACGCCCTCCGATTCCCCTGGCGGGTTTCGACACCGGGCGGTGGAGGAAGGTGTTGGTGGTGCAGGGACACAGGTAGAGAATATAATATATATTGACAAATAAACTATATACACTTATAGATGTCTACAAATTGACAAACAACTATGCAAATTATACTGTATATATATACATATATTTGTATTGTGCATGCATCTGCATGTGTTTGATGATGGTTGATGTATCAGCATCTAGCTCGCACACTATTGTGTAAGTAAGGGATTTGTTTCACTGAACGGATGCCACCACCCTTGAAGACAGCCTGCCCAGTTGAAAACCAGCTCGATGTAGCCACACGTGATGATGACCTGTGAGAAGGTTCCGACATCAAAAACCCAAGTCCACAGAATGCTGGGCCGCATCAGATAGGATGGCGGCTTTACAAAACTTTGCTGTACATACATATAGACACATTCATGTACATTGCCATGAAAGAAGACATGATATATATATATATTGGGCCATTCGACATAGACATATTAATTCATGTGTTGTGAAGGATCCTCATGGATACAGAAAGCAAAGAGGATATTTGGCCACTGACGTGGATCGCCTGGTAATCAGTTAGCTTCCAGCTTGCAGGGTCACACCTGGTCTATTCAACCACCGTTCTTGGATCCCGGGTCTGGGCGCACATGCCATCTAACCGGGTCTTCAACACCCCACGCGATGTGCAGCACACAACAAAAACTGATGTCCCCGGAAATGGATGCGTGGCAAATTGGAGCAAACAACAGTTGGCGCCCAATGAGGGATATGCGGCGTCAGGCGGCGTCCAGCGAAATCATGAAGACCAGGCTTGTAAACCAGGAAGTCGACTAATTTCTCTATGAGGATCGCAGGCTTGGGCAAGACGGCCACTTTGTTTTACTGCGAAAAAGGAAAGAGGACGATCCCGTCCGTTAACATCACAATTTTAGGGATAACGATCCACTCGACTTGGGAATGGCTTGGAACCTCTTTGTGGGCACTTTTCTAGAATGGAAAATCACCTGAAATAATCTGTCTGGCTGCAGCTAAGTAGCCACATCCATGCAAATCATCCAGTCACGCAAAATGCCTCGCATGTTAGGCTCGGGTACATCAATCTATCAGTCTATCTATAATCGGTTCACACCAGCTAGAATGTGTCGGAGATAAAGAATACCGAGTGAATGCAATAAATTGATCATAACATTGAATATATACCAGGACCCTCCTGTCGGGGTGCCCTGTCTGGAAGCCGAACGGCCGGATCCGTGTGCGGTAGTCCAGCCAGGACACCCCGAGGGTCGGAGGGTCCTGGTATACACATGTCAATTCAATTCAATGCACATGCTGTCAATCTAAAAACAGCGCGAATCTCTTCCGCTCCCCATGGGCTAGTGCCCCCGGTGTCGCGCACAAGGAGAAAGCACCGGTGTCGAGCTTCAACGGCGGTTTCGCGGAAGGCAGGAAGGCAGTTCTATTCTGCCAGATCGTATTATCCGTATCGGATAGTTTGGGACGCCAGGAGTCACAAAGGGGTAGTTTTTAGTCCCTAAGTCACCCCTATCCTCCAATAGGCACCCCTTTGTAACTCCTGATGGTGTTATTGTTTATTAAAAGCACTGCATGGTTGCATGTGTTGCGTTTGTTTAACACTTGAAAACCACACCCAGGTTTCCCAAAGCTGCCCGTTTTCTCCACCCGAGGAGGGAACTGGCCTCGAGTCCTGAACGAGACTACTTGGAAATCCTGACCCCCTCAGCGTTTTTTGGAGAATAGTTCTTCACCTCTATTTCACCTGTTCATGGGGCGAACCCCCAATCCCCAAGTACAGTATGTGACCTCCAAGTGATCCACTGGGTATGGACCAAACTCCCAACTTCCGAGGACCCGAAAACTGCGGACAACACAAATCACATCCTGATCCCCCAAACTTCCCAACACCGGTGGATGTGGAACGTTGATGTGTCCTCGACATTTGTTTTCGACACCTACCTAAGGCATCATATAGGTAGCCCTATAGGGCTGCCAGTCGTGAAGGACGGAAGGTATGATCGGACGGGGGCGCCCACTTCAGTTACCCAGTCCCACCTTCTCAGTACTTGGAGCCCTAAACCGTCAGTGAACGTTCCGTGATGCTAAGCTCAACCTACAGCCCACCAGAATCGACGGCCGCCCAGCAGCGAATGCCGTTGATAAAGATGTACATCAGCAGCTCGGCCGTGTAAAGAACCTGGGATTCTCGGCGAACCGCGTGATTCTCGGCGCGGAAGATGGTCACCAGTGTCTTTCGCAGGAGCCACAACAGGGGGATGTGGTCATCGCTGAAAGGCCTCATGTGAACCCTCCACGTTACTGGAGGGTCCATTCACTTGGTCAGCGGTCAGCTTCACCCTGTGGGACCTGCACAACAGCCAGCCGTACCTTTGCCGGGAGGTGGTCATGTAGGCCTGAAAACGGTCATTTCGTCTGACTCCAAAGTTCGGTCAACGAAAGAAGCTGGTGCTCACGTCTTATCATCATGTTGTTGATATGTGTCCACCTTGCCAACAAATTGCATGCACAAAAAAAAAGTCACTGATCCTCAAAGTCCATGCTGTTTTACATCAAAAACCAAGGCGTGCCGGACCACCCGATCGGCGTGGTGTTGTTGTTGTTGCTGCTCTCCCGTGGTTCGTTCACAGCTCAGAGTGGGACCATGATATTAGCCTGCGGACTTGTTCTTCACTGCTCCTTGGCCAAATTATCGGATTGATTGTATGGGGTCATATATAGATTTATGGCTATGTATATATATATATATATGAAGAACATTAATATTATATGTATTTAGGTCTAGCGGCAAAACCTAACAAAGCAAACCGCCAAAACAAACAAACCTTTGCTCTCACCCGCAAAAACCGCCGTCCAACCAGGTCCAACCCACCAGGTCACCTCCCCTCCAGAGGACCACATGGAACCCCAAAGCCAAGCCCGGTTTGTAGAGGAAAATGGTCGAAACCACCGGACCATTCTCTGGTTCCATGTTAGTTTGCAGGAGAGTATCCAACTGCAGTTTTCCTTTCGCAAAGATTCATAATCTTAAGTCCTACCTAAATTCTTTCATAGAGGCATATGACGTTGCTCAACTCTCGTTGGCTATCCGAGCAGCTAGGCACAAATCGCTGAGGACACTGAAGACGCGTGGAGGTCCGCTCAGCCCGTCCGCGCGAGCATCAATGTCGCGGCAGGTGCCTCGGATCGCTCGGATGTCGAGCCTGATGGCAGACGCAGGTGTCTCAATCAAACCCATGAAATGGATTTCCCAGACACTCCATGGGACTGCCATATATGCCGATCAGTTGGGGTGGTTTTAGGGGTCAATGTAAATATGCCATACATGGAGTGTCTGGATTTTGTAAAACATGAGTCCGGATCTGGTTCAATAAAACCCTTTGATCAATAACCCCGCAGACATGGAAGTGTCAAAACTCTTCTACTCCACAGAGCTGCGAACAAGGATCGCCCTCTCTCCACTGAAACATATTGAAACGGTATTCGTTTGTCAAACCATGTCAAACCTCTTCATACAGAGGTTGATTCATCAAGAGTCTGGGTTTCTTCGATCTGACCGAATTTGATCTCAGGATGAGAGTCACGACTCACTGACTGAAGGTCAGATGTGATTTGCGGGCAAATGGCAAGAGTGGCAGTTCGAAAGCAGAGTTCAATGATCAACCTTCAAAACAGCTGCGCCACAAAAGAACTCTTGGCGCCCCCCCAGACACAGTGCCCACCCAAAAGATCTAGTCGACATATGTATGGCTCTGGGTGCCGGGAGACCGACGGGTTCTTTTTCCCAAAAGGAACAGACCATATATGGCTGGAGCGAGCGAGCGAGCTCAACCATCAGTAAGGTCATTGCTCCGAACCGCAGGTTGGCGCGTGACCGCGCGCGCGTGACCTGACTGGGAAGGCTTTCAAGATCATGAAACCCCCCTGAACGCGAGATAGGAAGAGTCGGTACCCTCTAAATCCCTATCCCAAACACGACACGTCTGGGACTGCCAGGACGGACTGCCGAGAAATGGGTGATGGTGTGGTGCCACGGGGGTCGATGTAGGCTTTTTTTGGCATGTCGTTCGGAACATGGATATCCTTTTCAGCCGTGCCATCCAACAACACCGGATAACCTTGGGGTCTAAAAAGAGGCGACCCTGCTTTCCGGGATGATCGTGATTGTAATCCACCCGCCGGATGTGGGGTAAAGAATTCACACCAAAATGGAGGCCCCGAAAGCTAACAAAAAAAAGCAAACAACAAACGGATCCGTATGAGGTAGAGACATTCAGTTGCTGGTTCTTTTTCAACAACTTGGAATGAAAGTTATACCTTTCCCCAAACATCTTTACTCGGCCCACCTCCAGGCTTAATGGAGCTGAGACGTCAAGCATCTCATCTGCACGGCATTTGCCAGCTTCCCTGCTACCAAGCGGCAGTAGGCATCTGCGAAAACGACCGTGACCATGAAATTTGCCATGTAAACACCTGGACCGTTCGGACCAACTGGGTTTTGGGGGTTGGAACATCGAATCATATCCTGTGACCCGTTGGGTTTGGTGGTCAATCCCACCAGCAGAAAGCTGTTGTTGCTACAGCTTTTAGACTGCAAACAGAACCCCTGCGGTGTCTTTTTCATGCGGTGTCTTGCGGTGTTTCCCTCTGCGACCTTTCTTGCAAGAGACTAGACCCTTCATGGCCTCCATGGTGGGAACTGCTGCGGGCTCGTAGTTGAAGAGGATTCCGGGCAAAAAAAAAAGCTTTCATTACAAGAAGTCCAAGTCATGCCACATGAGATGAATCTGATCACATGGTGAAGTCATGTGAAGTCCAAGCGCCGCGCCAGCGCCTAGAATGATTCCCACCGATAATATGGAGCTGTCATAGTCTTCCCAATCTAGACAGATTGTGAAGGGGCCAACGTCACTTAAGGGCATCTATCAGAATCCGAAGGCAGAATGGCAACAACCATTTTTGCGGAAGCTGTCTGACTATCACAAAGACACACATCTCACCCATCTGGGACATCAGGGGTTCTCTTGGTGAGAGCTGCCCTCAAGGTTCTCCAAAACAGGCGAACGCGGATGCATCCGATCCGATCCCTCAGCCCTCCAGCTGCCGTGCCAACTCCAAGCTGCTGCTGGTTGCTTGAGTCGCTTTGGCCCTGAGGCGGCCAACCCAGCTGGCATCCTCCTCCTGGAAGCGACCGCTGCGGAAATCCATGAACTGGATGGCCGAACTTTGGGAGTTAAACACTACTTCTACATGGGGGCTTCCATGATTGTTGGATGAAGATTGTGTTGCCCAATTCTTGGTCGGATGGCATCTACTCGCAACAAAAAACAGCTCCTTGATGCCGGTGGATTGATTGAGCAACTTGGGATGCTGGCGATCGGTTGGGATTCGATCGGCGAGTTTCCTCATCTTGAGCAACACCAGTTGTGCTGTCATAGGTGTATTGGGGTGTAAAGGATTGTACAAGCAAGAGTTTCCAGTGTCCCCCACCTTAGCCATGATTAGGGTTTTGCCCGTGTTCGGAGCTGCCTGAGCAGAATCGAATGAAAGGTCTGGCCGTCTTGGAGTTGCTTGGGCCTTTGTCTTCGCCAAAGATTTGCTTCTTGCAGCACTGAATCCCTTGGATTCCCATGAGCTGCAACTCACCTCGTTCCGGTGATCTTGCCTGCGCCTGGCAGTTCCGGTTCCTTCGTTTCGCTGGTGTCTTCTGAACTGCACCACTCCCTACGGGTCAGGAACGGACCTCAGACCAGACTGAAGCTCATCATACAATGATCATACACCAAAAACCATACAAAAAAAACACGACTAACACCTGGCACAGACTGAAGTGGCTTAGGTACATGCATATCTATTCTATGTTAAGTAGAATGAATCAAATATTGATTAAATATTGATAGATCATAGATCTGTTCTAGCTTACATTCTCAAATTGGTACCATTCCAGTCCATATCTTCTTCTCCTGCAGGCACCCCAAAAAAACAAGCACTAACAAATGAGAACCCCCGGGCAAAAACCACGCCCACCGCACGGGTGTAGCGGTGGGCGTACTCTCCTCCGCCACCTTCCGCACGAAGTCTCCACCCATCACGGAGCGCCGGGGCTTCCTTGGGAAGGAAGGTGGGAAGCCGGGAAGACCAAGGAATCAACCCCTTAAGCCACAACAGGAGGGTACATGTCCCGCCCAGTCACCCAGTCACCCCGCCTTCATCTTCAAGAACGGGCAAAAAAAAGCACAGTCCACTCGGAAAAAACAACACATGCTGGACCGAGCTTCTTATCGCCCACCGACCATGCACTGCTGGACATCCTTTTCATCTCCATGGCGACTGAAAAAAACCGCCGGACCTCCGCGGAGTCCGCTTCCTCCGCGGTTGGACGACGTCGGTGGTGCCTCACTTTCGAGGCCCCCGAAAAGAAGGGGCGGTTGGACGCCAGAACGGAGACGATCAGGGTGTGTATGTTGGATCTTTGCACATAGAAAGACACATGCATCTGAAAGGACACATGAATATCAAATAAATATAGAGGGTCTCGAGCTGTGTGATCTATTCTTTCTGTTTGCTGTTTCTCTATATTTGACATTATTTGACAGCTAGAGACACCAATAACATCTTTCATCTGGCAAGTGGCGTAGCCTCTTTTTGAGCCCAAACAGCCGCAATCGCTGAACACTTCTCAGCAAACAACTCCCTATCATAGAGAACCCAGTATTCGACCAAGATATGAACAAAACAACTCCAAAGCCAGCTTCCCATGAAACACAAACCCTAGGGCTCAAAGTACCTTCTGAGAAAATGTTTGGGGAGGCACTCGAAGCCCCTAGGGTTTGGACCTGTGGTTGCATGCTTTTCTGGTGTCTGGGAAGAAAGCCTTCGCAAGGCACCACGTTCCTAAGCAGTTTAAGCTCGATCATCACATCATCACTCCAAGACCGATGCTTTTGGCCGGGATTGTGGTGTTGGTTTGGAACGGTTTGGAACAGAAGTTCGAAGTTCGCCCGCGGAAATTCGCACCCTCAGCTCCCCCGACTCGCGAAGCGAGTGGAAACCAACGAGTTCTGGTCAAATGGAAGTGCCGGGGTGCACCTCCTGTTGAAAGTAAAGTGATCTTTCATGATCGGGACATATCGCCTTTCTGAACCCCGCCCACTGAGGTTAGCTCAACAGCTCAGGCATGGCTTTCAGCAAGCGCACCAGGCGCGACAGGCGCAGCAGTCGCAAGAGACGCAAAGGACCTGCGCTGAGTCGTCGACCAGGGAGGTCCTCCGGAGACACCGTGTGTCCTGGTTGGACCCAGTCATGTGGTCACGGAAGCGCCATATGCAAGTCCTGTTTATACCATTCATGTTGACCAAGCATCAATCCCTGGGCTTGTAGATGTATCCAGCTACATCTGAGACCCGTTCCACATCCCCTACTGTCCCATCATGTCAAACGGAAAGCGTTTTTGCGCACAAAGGTCGGCTGAAAGGTCCCAACGCGCAGCTGGGAACGCACAGTGATTGGGCCTACAACCGGACGGAACTCCAAAAAGGCTCCACCATGCTCCCACCAAACCGGTCTATCTGAGACTATCTCTCAAATTAATCCATTTGCTGTGCCTTAAGTGTGTCTTGTGAGGGGTTTGGCTGGGCTTAAATAGCAATCATCACCATCTGTGGCATCCAGAATCTGCATACTTGGGAAGCTACTGCGAAACTGCAGCCTTTGTGCCCGATGCAGATTCCAAGCTCTTCCCGCACGCGCGGTCCCCATTTTTGGTGCCTGCATGAGATACATCAGCCAAGACATTCGATTGATGTTTGCCAACGCACGTCATCAATGAACGGGTCGACGCGTCTGCCTTTCGGATGCCACTTCCCCCACCTTCGAGGTGGAACTTGGAAGCACGGCGTGGTTCAACTCGAAAAGAACCAGCGAGGCGTTGCATACTTCTTTGGTTTTCGGAGCGAACATCGTGCGTTTTGCGCAGACCGGCATCTTGAAAGCCACATTTGGACCCCAATCTATATCAGCATCCGAGTCCTGTGCGAAGCACAAATCCGGTTGACACGTGTGATCTGTGCGGCGACAAAGTGCAGCACAAATCGGTCACTGGAAGAAACACTCTGATTCAGGATGATCTTCATGGATGCAGTTCCAAATGGTTTCAAATCTGAAACAGTATTGGATCAACAAATCGTTTTTACTGTGGAGCAACTTCAAAAATGTCTTAAGGCCTTCCATCCAGTGACTCCCGCTCCTTTTTCCGGTGCGTATTACCGTAAGACAGATTCATTCGCTCACCAATGAGCCCGAGCCCTCGTTCGACGGGTCATCCGAGTCGGAGTCTGCGGGCGATGCTGGGGCTAACTGCGCAAGGACCTCTGGAAGCTTGTCGATGGGCATGCCAGCAGGAGTGAAGCTTCGGTAATTCAAGACCGAGACCCACATCATGCCCAGTGCGATGCACATCGAGTAGAGCAAATGCCCACAAACCTCGAATGGCAAATATTGGACAATGCGTTTAGAAAGATGGACCGGTCTCAATTATATTACTTCTTGGTTTTGGATGAGGTCTTGGATGGAGAATTCCTTATAAACGACATTAGACGGACAACAGGAACTCGTGACAGCCTTCTATTTCACGATGCCAGGGGCAAAAGGAGGACAGTGATGGCAGCCATTGACACCAAGTATCCACACCACACACAAAAGGGCCAAGTCAAGTATAAATGACTCAAGACTAATGCCAAGATGCGAGGGATTCGGGTAGGAGTGGAAGGGGGGCAACCCCCAGCGCCCCCCAATGACGCCCAGGGCCCCGCATTGCGGTGGGCGAGGAACTCCATTGAACACCCAAAACGAAAGCTTTCCAGGTGCCAAACAGTTCAATCAACAACTTCTAACTGCTTGGGGCTAAGGGTATTCAAATCTTTCGTGACATTTGTGGTTGCTTTGGGGGAAGCAACCAAGAGTGTGAGTGTTCCCATCACAGTGAGTCCAGTGTCTAAATCGAGATCAAAAGGCATTTTGGTCAAAGACTGGGCAGTGGAACTTGTCATTGTGTGAGTTGATGGTGATGGTCACGTCTCTGAACCTCACAGGGAAAGCGCCCATGATGGCCCCGACCAAGGGGAGCAGCATGTAGATAGGGATGCTCTTGGATTGCGATGCTACCTCAGATCTGTTTGGAAAACGCCCGGAGTGACATGGAGAAAGCTCATACTTTCGTGCAATCCTCACCGGAACAAAAGACAGGCAACCAAATTGGAACCATGCACTTACGCGTCACAAGCTTATATATTATGCCTATACTGTCCGGACTACTCACCCCTTTCAAACCCCTAGACCGTCGAACCGGCATGTTGGGCGGTTTAGAGTCCAAAACATGGCAAAGCCGAGTTCACCCCTGGATCACATCGATCAACTCATCGGACGCACCCTTCGCCAGAATCCTCATGAAAAGACGATATGAGACGATGCACAGAGACTTGGTGTGCCCAGCGTGTAACATGCCGAACTTGGCTGGTATAGATGAAAAGGCAAAGATCTTGAATAGTTGAAAGATCTAGGAGTAAGTTCTTTCGAGATCCAAGTGCTCAAGTACTGTTATAGATCAACACTCTTTCCAAGTACTGTTCGGTGATCAGCCACCCAGTGATCAGCCACCCACAGGCATCTTTGGCCCATGGGGGTGGGTTACCCATCTTTTAAGCACCGGGATTGAATACCTGGTTCCACGTATCAGGGACAGATGTTGACTGAATACACTTCTGGGATTGTACAGTGTATATTTTTGAGGCTTGTAAATCGTTTCCCGCAAGGAGGCTCATGCACTTGCGGCAAAGCCCGGGCCACTTGGAAGTGCCGAATGAACTTCTGCTCTTCGTCCTCTGCTGCCTCGTCAGCTGCGCGAAGCTCCACGTCCAGCACTGAGGAGATGGCATTATTGATGACCGCAAAGCCGGCCATGCCCACGTAGGAGGCCGAGACGGTCATGACAATCACAAACCCTCAGGAGAAAAAGAACAACAATACATGCAACAGAATGTTGCAAACAGGAGCAGGTCATCCGCACTCAACGAACGAAGTCTAGCCGCTAGCCCCTCTTCAGCAGGGAACTAGAGTATCCACTGACATTCTCCGAGGTGTGGGTTGAGTATACGGCCAAGGGTGTCCGACGGTCGGTCCCGGTCGGTGAAGCGAAACGACCCAACCGGAGATGGCACCGCGAAAGACCGAGATCCCTGGGTTGAGCGCAGTCAACCAATAGAGCAGTCGAGCCGATCGGAGAAGTCTTCTCCAACTTCTCATGACGTCACCAGTCTGACATGACTTGAGGCTAAGTCATTTCTGTCTGCTGTCCTTTGTAGTCAGTGTCTCTTAGATTCTCTTAGGAAGGAACATGCTCCAAGACAAATAATTACATACACCTCGCCCCCCAAGTCACCCAGTCACCCAGGTTCCACCTTCAAAGGGGGCTCGGGGCGGGGCTCGGCTTTCGCAGACCATAGGTGTCTCTCTCGTTGGTTGGTTTTCAACATCCGAGCTCAGCTGAGCGTCAAAGAATCCAGGGAGATGAAAACATGGTCTTGGCTTCACAGTAGCCGGTGGGTAGCATCTGAACACTCATGGGAACCATGCTGGCCGAGAGTGAAAAGCATTGGAGACAAATGTGCAAGATCATAAAGATTCGAACCTGGGCGTGGCAACAAAAACAAGTGGTACACTGGGGGGCGCAGGCTGTGCAGGAATTAGAGATGAATTCAAATCCCATTGCATTTTGTGGCACATCTGAACACCAAGTACAAGATTCCACACCTACAATATGATCGAACTGGGTAGCGTGTGTAGTGTTGAATGTCACTGTCATGCTCTCTTGCTCAGCTTCACATGAAATGTGACAACCACACCTACCAACCAAGCCAGCTGATGAACCTGGACATCAGCTGAATCAAAGTGTTGCTTGTGAGAGTTCCCCAAACGCAAGAACTCCAACTGAAAGAAGTCTTGAAAGACCAGCACCAAGTGCGTTCCTTAATAACATATGCGGTTGGATGCATTCTGTCGGCAAGTGCGAACCTGAAGTTAGATTGAGCTGGTCTAACAGGCAATGAATTGAACGATAATGGCATCAAACATGAGTTGAAGGCATTCCAGAACATTCCAGGACCCGGGTGGTGTCCATGAGCATGCTCCGAAAAGGGGTGCTAATCCTCAAGACTCCTTCAAAGGCATTGGTCCTTGGCTGATGGAATTTGCTCCATGTTTTGAACAAATGGTTGATTCTCCTATGTCACACGGACACGTGGAGCTGGATGTGCAGCGCAGCTCCGTCAGCGCAGCGAACCGTTGGGAAAACCCAACTCGGATGTGAAACATCTGAATCTTCCCCAGGTACGGGAGGATTCACCCAGGAAGCCGGGAAACGAACGCCCCCCCCCCAAGCCCAAACATATCGCCAGCAGGATGAAGAATTTCTTGAATCAGCGGAATTAGGAGTTGGCTGAAAACTGGAACCTGGGGCATCTGGTCATGGGAAAACACACAAATACCTCAGTGACTATAGGGGAAATACCTCAGTGACGAGCCGGGGAATCTGGCAAAAGAGATTCTAGAGTCCCTCCTGATTCCGCCCACTGCACAATCCTAGAACTGTTCACCCTGCAAATTGGGCACATGCTTCCTTCAGAAATGTCGATTCTGCCTCGCGCAAATGCCCTACACCCCCAGTCTTACCTCCTCAGGTTCGGTATGACTGGACCCTCCTGGCACCCACCCAGTCCCACCAAACCTCAGAAGGTACCGACTGGAGGCCAGGGGGTGAGGAAAGGCGCCACGCAATACTTCCGCAGTCAAGGAGCCATGGAGATACCCGTGTGAAGATCGCTCCTGGGCGCGGGGTCAAAGCTTGGAACCTGCCACACCATCCGCGAAGCATCCAAGCGCAGCCGGGTGAGTGGCAGGAACGAGTGGATTGAATCGGAACGCGTGGCACTTCTCAAAGCGAACCAACACACACTCACCCTACACCTCCAAGTACCTCCTCGGAAGGTATTTGGACCCTCCTGGCACCCACCCCAGTCCCACCAAACCTCAGAAGGTACGACTGGAGGCCAAACGGGTCAGGAGAAAGATACGGTCCCGAATGCGAAGCCACACGGTGGCCGTGAAAGAAGTTCCTGGGGTAAAACGGTCCGTGACAGGTGAGAACGAAGTCACCTCGAAGGTCTCAAAGGCCCAAGGTGTCACGTCTCAAAGGCCCTGCGTGTCTGGACCTCACTCATTCGCTGCGTGTCTCATGCAGCAGGAGCCTCACCAAACCTGAAAGGTCAGCCTCCCAAGGTCTCCAGGACTTGAGTGGACCAGGTCTCTAGGCAACGTCACCAAGTTCCATGCGATTTCGCAGGTACGCCGAGTTGATCAGACTTGGTATCCCATGATTGTGCGTAGCGTTAAGTGAGGTCCCGAACCACCAAGAAGCCCAAATATGGTCTGCTCCTATCAAAACCAAGTGTCATGTCTGGGCTATCACACCATCTAAGAGTCCAAAACACCCAAACAACCCTCTAAAACAACCCAGAGCTGAAAGGTCACAACCCTCTAAACCCTCCCTTCAGGGTTGATTGGATTTGTTTGCCCATGGAACAAATCAGAAAAGAAATCCCCTTTCCCATCCATTCCCCAGGTATGGGAGTTCATCATCCCTAGGGGCAAAAAAACAAACACACAAACATCAAGGTTTACCACTGGTCGTGTCCGCCGGAGATAAAACGAGTCGGAGTGTAAGTGGTGGCACCGATGGCACCAAAGCCCCAGACTTTTCGGGTCCAGGTCCGTGCGGATGGTCGTTGCCGGGAGATGAGTTCCCCTAAGGGTCCAGGACCATCCGAATCGGATGTCCTTTGACCCCCAAGACCATTCTCTGGAAGTGCTTTCACCTCCAAGACCATCCTCACTCAGGAGGTACCTGGACCCTATGGGGGGGGGTTCGGTCTGGACATCGGAACGGATGATCGTGGACCCATCTCTGTGGGATCGGTGTCATCGGACCTAGTAGCAGAGCCTTGCGGGGTTTAGCAAAGCCCCAAGAAAAACATGGATGGTGACCAGTGAGGATTACAAATCCTAGGGATCCAAGTACCTCCTCAAAAGGTACTTGGACCCTCCAAACCCACCCCAAACACCTTCTCAGAGGGTACTTGGATCCTTAGGGAAAAACAAAGGATTCCACCGTGGTTTGTGCGAGAGTCTTGCTCAGGTTCGGAGAATGCCTATACACTTTGAGAATGGAGTCACCACCCAGTATACAAGGAATTGTTCCACCATGTTACTTTGTGTTGTAAATGATGGTAGTTACCTCGTTACGTCGTCACGGTCCTCGTGACGTTTGGGCCCCGACCGGGGGTCATGGTCCACCCCCACGGTCCGCGACGCGGTCCAAGTGGACGAGGTGGGTGAAAAGCCCAAGCTTCAGAGTGACGCGATGGGGCACCTTGCTCCAGGCAGAGCCCAAGCCCCAGCAGGTGTCGTTGACGCCCCCGCAGCAGGAGCCGCACCACCAGCGCTTCTTTGGCACTCGCGCGAGCCTCGATGAAGGTGGGTGGGTGGGTTTTGGAACGCCGCGGATTTCGGGGCAGAACTGGTCTGGGCAGGGAAGATGAACCAGATTTGGTTGGGGCTGCATTAGCATGGCATGGTTTAGAGCCACATGCGGACTGACTGGCATGTTTACCTGGATTTGCTTCCCCAGAACCGGGGAAACACCCAAAGGTGAGAAAGAAATCACCTGATCGATGAGGTTTCCCTGGGTTTACCTAGGCGTGGGTTCAATCTATAGTTCAATCCATGTCAATCCCCTCCATCCTGGAGCAAATAGACACTCGATAACAGGATAACATGGCTTTTGATTTTCCAATCTTCCATCTACATCAGGATGACACTTGACCATCTTGGCCACTTGAGCAGGCTCCAGTGGAAGGAGCTGAGCTGATACTTAACATATACCTTTTATGCACCGACCTAGAACTCAAACATGACCGGAGTTTTGATAGAGCAAGATCTGAAAAGACAGAATTTTAGATATTTCCCTAGGGATCCAAGTACCTTCTCAGAAGGTACTTGGATCCTCCAAACCTACATCTGTCTCCAAACACCTTCTGAGAAGGTACTTGGATCCCTAGGGTTTTAGGTGGTTGGTGGTCTCAAATAGACGTCACTCAGGGTCCGACTGGCAGTTTTTGATCTGACTGGGAGTCAACCGACTGGTCGGCTTCAGTGGCACGATCTGAACTACCCCAGGCACTCCATAGGACTCGATCAGGCCAGGGGTGGTTGACTGGGGGTCTGGCTTGATCGGCAGTCCGTCCTGGCAGTCCCATGTGTCGTGTCTAGGTACCTCTCGTCACCTTCACACGCCTTTCAGCTCCAATTGAGTCACCACGAAAACATCAGCCGAAGCGAAGCTGTCTGCGATGAGGGCCTCCTACCTGAAAACGGACCTCTTGGAGGACTAGCTTGCTCCACACACACACACACTGAAAGTGGTGTTCAAGTTTCATGTTGATCTTCCAGGGCGAACTATGTGTGTTTTAAAAGCTTATATAATAGGAATGCCACTCCACTGCCTGCACCACCCATCACATGTGGAATCCTTGGTGTACAGGATGGGGTCCTTGCTTCCAATTTCCGCTCTAGAACCTTCCACGTTCACCTTGCAGCATCGTCTCCATGCTGACACTTTGGTGATCGTTCGTGGAAACAAACAAACGAACCCACCCAAACCCAAACAAACGAAGGCAATCTCTATTTCCTTTTAACGGGTACGTTAACCTGCTTGGCAATCACAATGCGTGGGCATGTTTTTAGATAAGGGATTGAGGCATGAATCAGTTGAGACTGCCCAAATGGGAGACATCCTGCAGAAACCAAAGCCCGCAAGAGAACCAACAAATTGAACCCTTCCAACAGCTCGTGGACTTCGACTCAAAAGCTGGTACATAAAAACTACATAATATACTGCTTCAACACACCGGCGACGTTCCTCAATTTCTGACGGAACCTGAAAACGATGGTTTCGTTTCGGTGCAGCATACCCAAACACGACGCGTCTGGGACTGCCAGGACGCACTGCCTTCTAAAAGGCCAGGGGTGATGCGAGGGGTGTCCATCATCATATCTTCCAGTCCCAAGGAGTTGAGTCCCATGGAGTTCCGTCCAAGCAACAGCTCCTGTGGCATGGGTGGCTCACCCAGTAAGGCCACAAAATATCGCGTCATGTTCCTGTGGAGGTCGGACGGAGTTCCGCGATTCCTTTGTTTCTTCTTCTTGTGATTTACGAACACGGAGTCTGAAAGATCTTGATCTGCAAGGTCTGGAGGATTATGAATTATGATAGGGTGAAAAAAATCAACAAGTGAGATTGATTTAGTATACAGTAGAGCTACAAAAGGAACTTCCCTGAAAAGTTAGCAAGGCCTGACCAAACAAAGGAAACTAAGAATTCATTGGCCTTAACTCCTGATGGTTCTTGGGCGTTGGATGGCAAATCTTTGAACGTCAATGGACATATTCCGCTTAGTGACGGTCACACATGGCTATTCTACCTAGCACATGTATGATCCTCCTAGATCACAACATCTATTATTAAATATTTACGGTTGACTCATCACATCTCGCTTATTACTGTACCCTAGACCTCCAACCATATCCTCAGAAGGTGGTTAGACCCCCCTGGCACCCGCCCCAACCATCTTCTCACACCCCCCCCCCCAAAGCGTGTGGGTCCGGGCACCCAACCACCACGCAGGTGAAAATGGCCATCAAAAGCTGAAGCGTGAAGGAAGTGCTTGGTCGAAGAATGCACAACACCGCCATCAAACTCATGATCGCCTGAGTTCAACCCCAAACACTCCATGGGACTGCCATATATGCTGATGACCCTCAAACCACCCCAACTGATCGGCATATATGGCATGCGGCATACATGGAGTGTCTGGGAACACACAATGAAGATTGGGACTCTGGCCCACTGTGCAACGATGGATGATGAGCATAGTTACAAGATGTTACAAATAGGGCCTGTGGCAAGCATTTTGCCGCGGTTATATACCTGGTGGTGGCAGCTGAACAACGAACTGCAGTCATTCCAACAATTTCAACTTGAACCTTTATGATCTTTATGTCTCCTTTGATCTGGTTTGGGTGGTCACATTGCCAAGAAAACTTGCGACTTGCGACTTCGTTGTGTCGTATTGCTCTTTGTTTGTTAATTCGTTGTCACTTCGTGGACTTGGCATCACAAGCCCATAGGGTCCAGGTACCTCCTGAGGATGGTCTTGGAGGTGAAAGCACTTCCAGAGAATGGTCTTGGGGGTCAAAGGACATCCTCAGGATGGTCCTGGACCCTTAGGGAAGTCAATATTGCAAACATGAAAAAAAACCACTTCCTCCTTTGCATGAATCATCCAAACGGCTGGTACCATCACAATGGTACGCACCAGCTCTAAATAGATTGGCACCATTGGCCGGTTCTCCGTCACCACGATGAAGGCGCTCTTGCGACCATCCCGAATGCCCCATCTGGCGCGGGTTGGCAACATAGTGCCAGGGCACAGTGGACAGTGGATGATGGTCGGCAAAGGCGTTTCCCCAAAAAGAAAATGGCATTAAAATAACGTGGCGTAGATTACCCCACCCCCCATGACTACCCGCTCTCTAAAATAATAGCTTGTCATAGTTTATACCTTTATTTTTTATTTGTGTCTGTTACTGAACATGGGACTGATTGTAGCTGGAGACCTTTGATCGTGGTGTTGCTGGTCATGCTGAATGAGGACCTGTTTGAAGTATGAAGTGTTGCCTGCAGTTGCTTCTTGCTTCTTGCTGCTGCTGCTGCTGCTGTTGCTGCTGCTGCTGCTGATTTCGGAACAGTCAATGATGTTATTAATTGGATAGTAATTGTTCTTCTTTTCACACCACCATGCTACAACTGAACGTTTCACTGACCCCGCTGTGGCCAGCATCTAAAGCACCTCTGATTCAGAATTCGGCACGATCTACTCCTCACCCTTGGGGGAGTATACCTTCTTCATATGTACCGAGGACATTTTGGCATACCCCACCAATGTGCCTGGTGGGGTTTTGAGGTTGAACCTGGTGGTATACTGGCATCTGGTGGTGTGCTTGGCATACCTTCTTCACAGGCTAGTTCTGCCCCAAGTTTTACTGGCGGGCAAGGCTGGCAGCTTCTGAACAAACCTCCCACGTCGGCCTCAGGCATATGGCGCACGTCACGGCGCAGCAAGCGCAGGTCACGCCCAACAGTGTGGAAATCTGCCAGGGAACTTTGCCCGGGCTCACATAGGCGGTGTAGCCCCAGACCAACGCCAGCGGCATCCCTTTTCGATAGCCACCGGGGATGGCCGGTGGCTCTGGTCTTGAGCAAAGATTTGGAGAAACCGCGGTGACAGTTGTGTTGAGAAGTTGTGAGGGGAGATGTGACTCCAAAGGAGGAGATGTGACTCCAAAGAAATGTCCACTTTCTAATGTGGCACACCCTTGCTTAGAGCTTGGATGAGCTTGGTAATGCCCGGCATCCACCATGCTAAAACAATCTCGGCAATCCTTATGCACCCGAAGACAAACCAAAAACAACACCTGTATACATACATGCGGAATATCGAAAAAGCGGCTTGGACAGCACCTGTTGGCATACCGCCCTCCATGCTGCCCATGGCCAGGACCACAATGGTCAAAACCTTGGACAGTTGGTTCGTCGCTTCGCAGGCGAAATGGTTCGAGTGACGTCGCCGTCGCCACATGTCGCGACCACATGTCGCGAGGACGAACCCATACCAGCACCGAACCCAACAGGTCTGCGAAATGGGTTGGGAAAGGCCCTGTCACAGGCTTCAATTGGTGACCTGTTGGCCGTCGGTGCTGGTAGAGTCGGTTGTTCCCCGTGAAACTTTGGACGGCACTGCGAGCCCCACGGGCCGTGGAAGCTTTGGACGACCCAAGTAAGAACGGTCAGTCTCATCTTGGTCCTTCACCCTTTGGAACCCACCAATGTTCAATCTCAAACCTGTTTCTTCACTAAACAGGACAATCAGGAACAGGTGGAGAAGGGTTAACCGCGGTTAACCATTGTTTTGCAATGTCACGGGGTCAGTCTTGAGTGTCCTCGAAGTGTAAGAAAACCACTTCTGAGAACTGTCCTTACTTGGCGAACTCTGCAGGTTCTAGTTCTAGATTTGGTACAAGAACACCACACCCATCCGATGTGCCATGAATGTGAAGCCCGGAACATGCGTCGGAACAGGGCGTGATGGTTTGCCCAAGCACACCAAGTGGCCCAAGTCTCCGCAACCATTAAGGCAACCTGAGCGATTGCGATTGGGTCTCGAGTCGAACGAGTCGCCCGAGTCCTCGGTAGCCAAGGGGAAGGTGTCCGATACATGTTGAAAGGGATGTACTTTGTCTATCTATTTCGGGGTCTAGAGTCTATAGAAAAAAGTATTAAGTGGATGATCACAGTCATCCTGTGGCTGCTCATGGAGGACCCAAGCCCACCAAAACGTGGCTTGGAAAACAGGCTCAGGTTGACTTTCCCATGTGCTGTCCTATAGTGGAACTGTGAGCCGGTTTCTTTCGTGCTTCCAAAGAACTTGGAAGTGAACTCGGCATCTGCATGGTGAGAATTAGGACTTCCCTCGTGTGTTTGTCAGTTTCTGTATGATCAGGCCCTTGTCTTTTTCCTGGCGGGAAGATAATCTAGATGTTGCAGCAATTTCTGAAGACAAAAGGAATGAACAGGAGAAGATTGGACCATCCCAAAATACAAAACCTTGGTTCCTGGGCTGTGCACGCCGACTCCTTACTCAGCAATCAGACTGCTATAGTGCTCACTCGGCCCTAGAAGCGCGTGATCAAAAAAAACCTCAAGATTTGCAGCGCACAAGGCAAAGTGGGCCAAGTACAGTACCATAGAATGTTCAATCCAAAATAGTCAAGAACAAGTACCTTTTGCTAGTTTTCTCGATTCACTCATGCCTCCACTTGCTTGCTAGGAGGGGCGGCGGGTGTCTACCATGCAAGATCCAACACTTTTCTTTTTGTCTCATGTCTTCATCTTGAAAGGCGGGACACCATCAGTTGGGAGCTCAAGGAAAGGGCACACACATCCGAACCGAAGAAAAACACAAACACTTGTGGCGATGGAGACGCCCGTCGCAACACCAAAGCTAAGGCGGCTAAGGGGCCGGGATTCAAAAGTATTGACTGTGGTCGAGAGGTGTTGAGGTGGACAAACGTATTGGAGCATGGATGAGCATGGGATTTTCCCTGGTATTTACCCCAAAGATCACTGAAGGTCATTCCCTAGGGCTCCTGTCCCATCTCCTCAGCTTCGATGGTTAAACGACCCCCGTAAGGCACCCGTGCCCCCTAGTGCCCGAACCGAAACGGAGGGGGCGGTCAGGAGCCCAAGGGATTGTACTCCACTGATTCATCTCTTCTGCCTCTTCATCGTCCGAAGATCCGAACTTGGAACCCCCAAGCAGAAAGAGTTCTGGATGGAACTCCACAGTCCCGCAGCCATGTCCAGTAGGACCAGGATTTCAAGTAAGCCATATTGGAACAAGCAGAACTGTTTCTGGTTGGGACTGGGATTTCAGGAAGTTCTGTTTTTCTGCCCAAGCGACCAGCAATGAATCAAAGACAAACCACCTGAGGCGTCACGACGACGTCAGGCAGCGGGGGCGTCAGTGGGGCGACCACCAGGCCATGCGTCGAAATTGTGAGTCCCAAACACGACCCGTCTGGGACTGCCACTCGGCAGCACCCGAACGGCCAACAGGTCACCAAGCGACTTCGACCTGTGGTCCAACAACCCTCCACTAACAGCCTGGCCGAGTTCGGGTGCTGGTATATGCCGATCAAGCCAGACCCCTCTGGCATCGCAGCCGTTTTGGTCAGTCCGTCCTGGCAGTCCCACGTGTCGGTCGTGTCTGCGTGTGTCTGGTTACGAGGCCCGGATCTGTATCCAACAGGTGGGGTCCAAAACGGTTTTCAGAGGTGTGGTTTCATGTGGTTTTTCAGCAGGTGAGTTCGATATCCCTGGCACCCGAAGGGGGTTCCATAGTTCCATATGAAGCACTGAACTTGGGGTCTGGAAAGGAAGACTTAGGGGGTCTGGGGCCGAAAGACACCCTTCAGAAAGAAGGACACTCATATTAATACATGGAAGAAGTGGACGGCATGGCCCCGAAAGGAAGACCATGTTCCTCTACAAACAGTGGGTGAGCTCCACTACCTGTTTGCAAAGAAAATGGTCATCCCAAGCCCAGGGGGCCATGCCATCCACCCTGCCCAAAGTTGATGGGCCTGAAGCAACTGCTACAGGTTTGAGGTCCACAATCCTATAGTTGTGAGGGTCAAAACCCTATAGCTATGAGGCTCCAATGAGCCAACGCAGCTTTTACTACGACTGCAGCAAGGTATCACATTCCTAGCTTTCGTCCCCCTTGGGACTCTTCAGGGCTTTGCAGCCACAAATGCTGCGGTGTTCAATCACATGCCTAGGCATCGTGTGTTCAATAACCTAGGCAAGTGCAAACTGGACATGACTTTTGTTCAATGAGCCAAGCTGGGTGGAAAACATGTGCCACATCGAAGTCCAAGCCGTGGGGCCAAGCAAGCTGGGGGCTTTCCACAGCGCACTCCGGACAGAACTCCCGATGAGCCCCGGGTTTTAAGAACTCGGCTGCGGCTGGTGCAGTGACTCATGATGATGGGGGTGAGGGTAACCAACAAATTCACCTCCTTTTTGGGCTTCATTTCAGTTTCAGAGTCGAATCTCATTGGCATTGGGCTTCTCGTCATCTACCTACCTCCGACCACCGCCCCACCCACCGACCCCCGACAAAACGCCGTGCATCGGCGGCACCTGTCTTTGAGGCAGTTCCGCTTCACAGCAAAAGCTCCAAATCCTTGGACGAAGATCAGTGAAAACTGGAGGGCTCTGCGGAGACCGACCAGTTACCCTATCCAAATGAACGGACGAACCTACAGGAGGTGATCCACTCACCACCGGAAGAAGCTGCAACCTGCAGGTTTTGGACCCACGAACAGGACGACTCCAGCACCGGACTCAGGACCCCTAAGGGCGGTTATGGATCAGCATGTCCCTGTCAGGGCGGTGATCGTCGTGCCGAAACGAAACGAAGGTATGACTGGACCTTCCGAAGCCAGTCCCGCCTTCTCAGAAGGTACTTGGAACCCTAGCGGTCTACAACAAGCCTAAAGTCTTTGGGCCGCAAAGGTCAAAGAATGTCAAAGACATGGCCTTATGTTGACCCCACAAGGTAGCACAAAGAGTTGGATTTGCTCAAGGAATCGGTAAGAAATAAAGCTTTCCTTCAGAAGGGGATTCCCAGGAAGACCAGGCCCGCAAATTCACGCAGGTTCGCAAGGTGTCCCCAGAAAATCCCGTTGAGTCCTACTATAGTAACTATAGATACCCTAAGTTCCTGCCATGTTCATTCCTTAGTTTTGTCGCAGCAGTCAGTTGAGGCGCTTGTGTTTCGATAGTTGCTGAACAAAAACAGTTAACATATTTCAACAGTTAACATTGATGGCTTGTGTGGTTGGGTCGGCTACCCTGATCTGGTCAAAGTGCCTGAACCATTCCACTTCCTCTTTGTGTGGAAGGGATGTTCTCAACTCAAAATATATAGTTAATATCAAATTATAGCCACACGAATGGTTAGGTCCTACATCCTCCAAGGCTCTGATCAGCAGCTCCGCTGTGAAGAAGGCACAGAACATATTGTCAAATACCTAAGTGGCAAATCAGCGACCGCTGCCAAAACGACATACGGCCGGATCGAACATCACCTTCAAACACGCACACCTGACCCACGGTCCTTGGTAAGAGCGGCTTCATCAAGAAGAGTCTCTCAAGTCTCTCATGGTGAAGGGCGGCTGTCACCCCTCAAAAGGGGTGATCATATCATATCCCGGAAAATCAACTCAAATCCAGATGTATACTGGCCACATAGCTAGGCCATGCTAGGCCACCTCGACGCCTGTTCAATCTCTCAAACTGAATGGAACCCAAAGAACACCAGTTCACCCATGAAGTCAAATACATCCATTCTGTAGTGGATATGCTGTCGGGGGATGTGATGGACAAGTCGGAGCACTCAGCGGCAGTGGTCGGACTCGGCACTTGGCCTCGCCTTCAAAGCTGAAGACTTCGTTGTACCCAATCACCAGCAGTCACAAAGGGGTGGTGTTTAGTCCCCAAGTGAGTGGATAATGGGCACCCCTAACCTCCATTAAGCACCCCTTTGTGACTGCAGGCACTTTGGCCTTCCCTAGGGATCCGTTTTCGTACCGAACCCTTGTACCGAACCGCTACGACTGGAGCCGGTTACCTTGCACCTACATCACAGTGTTCTCACACAACACCGTACCTGAGGTTCGGTACGAAAACGGATC